AGCAGGGGTTTACTAAAAAGTTTGTGAAATATTGTTGAAACGGAGAGATGAATGGAGCAAAGAACGGCTCCAAGGTCTGGGACCTGAATGACGGTGCCGCCGCCCGAGGTCATCGGGAAGATTTTTCAAGGTGAGCGTCGGGACCGCCGGCTCCAAGCCTCCAGCTGCAGTCCCTGAACTGCTTCGTTCTGTCCCAGGTTCAGAGACGCACGCCCTCCCTCTGGGGCCCACGGAAGGCCGCGACACGTCCAGAATTGGAGTCTGGGCTCCCTTTCTCTTCCCACGGCGAGAGAGGGAGAAAGTTGTGATGAGCCAAACAGACTTGCCCAGGTCCTGAGAGTGAAGGTGTCATCAATGTTTCAGACATTATTGACTCTGTGTGTGGTTTCCGGCAAACAACTGACCGCCTACTTTAAGAGACAATATCACTAAGTGCTTTTTTTTAATGCAAAAAAGAAAGAAATAAAAAAGAGCTACCTATTTTCCTCATTCCTGCAGGTGCCCAACCCGAATGACTTGTTGGAGCGCATTTTCTGCATTCTTAATAGATAGCCAGCAGGAAATGCCTCTTATAGCCCGGGCTGGAGGGGTAGAACGTAGCGAGGGGAGGGTACAAAATCCCCAGCCCCAGCTTCCGCAAGCACTGAGCTGCTCCTAGGTGGGCCAGGCAACTCTGACCATCACTTCGCACCTTTGCTCAGCTGTGGCATCTTGCTGTCTCAGTTGATGGTCAGGAATTAAGGTAGGAGAAGCTGGCGAATTCTGGGGGGCGAGGAGGGATGGAGAGTCAACTGGGCAGGAATCGGGGCAGGGGGGGAGCGGTGAGCATCACATGCTTTGCTCACCGCGCTACAGTCTGGTCCTTTTGGGGCTTTTGTTCCAAGTGATCACTGTGACAACCTCTCCGACACCCCCCCCCACCCCCACGCCCGAGGTGCTGGATAGCATTCTGCAGCAGGGTGGTAACCATGTCCTTACAAGCAGACTGTGGTAAAGTTGAGGCCCAATTGCTGGCATTGGATTCCGTGTTAGAACATTTGTGCAGAAGTCTGGGCATCATTCTGAGGTCGAACTGGAGCGCTAGGTGTTTTTATTGTTTGTGCATTGGGGGAAGGTTGCAAGGTGCGGTGTAGTTTTGTAATTCTGCTATTCTAACTGCACAGCTGGTAAAGCTCGACCTTAGGGTTTTGTCCGCAAGAGGTTTTAACTACAAGCCAGGGACTGGGACAGGATCATCTTCTCCCGGAAAGTACCCCCCCGCCCCGCTCCGCCTCACGGCTGTCCCCTCGGTTCCAGCTTTGCAGCGCCCCTTCTCTTAAGCCAGACTCCAGCCAATTCACGCCTGCATCAGGAGACCCCTCGCAGAGGGCTCACTTGGGGATGGAACTGTCCACGTTTCTGCAGAGGTGCAGTGAGATGCAGCTCTGCAAGGGCTGTAGCCAATAACGGTTCTCAGAATCTCAGTATCCCCGAGAGGCACGTCCTCTCCGCTGAGGTCTGAGTGCAGCCCGGAGAATTGCTTGTGAGCTAGATCCAGAGAAGTAAGCCATGGTTCTCCTTTGAAAGGTGTGTCCGTGTTGTTTGGGGAGAGGTAGCACTTGTACCCCAATCAGGATCCCGGTTGCCTAAGGTCCGATCCCTCCAAGGTGATGGGGATGAGACATTGCCTCCGACTTTCTCCCTCCCCAACCTTTCCTGGCTGTGGCCAGTGGCCTGTGGGCTCTGTGGTCCTTACCCGAGGAGACTAGGAGCATGATCCATGGCCCTGATATCCCAAGGGTCCGGCCGGCTGCCTTCCTTATAGCTTCAGGGAGAGTCTGCAAAGATAGATTTGCAAGCTGTTTGTCAAGCCTGAGCCTAGAGCAGTGGCCATTGGCATCTCCAGGGCTAAAGCCGTGACTCTTACAAAGGTGCTAAGCAGCCCTTGCAAGTAGAGGCTCTCAGGAGAAGCCTGGAGGGAGTGGACAGATGTTCTGTCTGCGCTCCCTAAAGGAAACCAGATGGCCGGCTTATGGCCTGGCTCAAGCTTCCCTAGAGATCAGAAGTCAAGGCTTCACATTTGATAAATGGGGAGACTGAAGTTCATAGAGGGGTTCTGTGAGTCCCACCGGGTCGACAGCAAGGGATGGTGGGGGAAGGGACGACATTGAAGCCAGAGAGCCCTAGGTTCAAATCCCAGCTCGGCCCCCACCTAGCTGTGTGGCATGGGCAGTTCATTTCACGTTCTGGGCCCAGATTTGCTCATCTCTAAAATGGGGACAATAGGACCTCCGTTGAGAGTTGCAAAGACTGGAGAAAACATGCATAGAGCTTCTGGCACAGAGGCGGTATTTTGTAAACTGTAGCCTTAGGAAAAGGGCTGGCTCCAACATTTATCCTGACTTTATAATTTGTAACACCTCCACTTTCTTTTTTCTTTTTTGGCTGTGTTTGGGAAATAGATTTGACGTATGACTGTGTAGATTTAAGGTGTTACATGTTAATTTGATAAATTTATATTTTGTAACATGATTGCCATTATGGTGATAATTAGCACCTCTATCAGCTCACACCATTATCCTTTCTTTTTAGTAGCTGGAGTAATTTAGTCCTAGTCTCCTTGCAAGTTGGAGGACTGCTACAATATCGTGCCTTAGATCTCGAGGGCTTATTTACCGCTTATAACTTTGTGCCCTGAACAACACCGGCCCGATCCCCTCACCGCCCCCCCCCCCACCATTAGATCCTTAGACCTTACTTGTAACTGAAAGTTTGTATCCTTTTCTGTCATTTCCCCTGTCGCCCAGCCCCTGGTAACTATCATTTTACTCTGTTTCTAGGAGTTGGAGTTTTTAAAATTCCACGCCTAACTGATATTATAAGTACAGTTGACTCTTGAACTCCATGGGTTTGAACTGCGCAGGTCCACCTATGCGAATTTTTTACAGTGCAGTGCTGTAAATGTATTTTCTCTTCCTTAGGATTTTCTTTGCATTTCTTTTCTCTAGCTTACATTATTGTAAGAGTACAGCGTATCATACATATACAAAATATGTGTTAATTGACTATGTTGTTGGGAAGACTTCTGGTCAACAGTAGGCTATTAGTAGATTAAATTTGGGGGGAGTCAAGTTATATGTAGATTTTTGACTGTGTTCAAGGCCAATTGTACTTGTCTTTCTCTGACTCCTTATAATGTGCTCAAGGACACCTTTGCTTTATTCTTCCTCTCGATGCTGGGCATTTGGCTCGTTTCCACTTTTTGGCTATTTTAAATAAAGTTGCTGTGAACCACATGCACGAGTCTTTGTGCGGACGTACATTTTCGTTTCTCTTGGTTGTATGTGCCTAGAAGCAGGGATTGCTGGGCCATAGAGTAAGCGTGTGTTTCACTTGATAAGAACCTGCCCAACAGAGTGGTTGTTTGCGTGTCTTTTGGAATAAGGACACAATGGATTCGTGTTTCAGGTAGTGCCTGGTTGTGCTTAGCATGGCTGTCAACCGGGGGAAGCAGAGTGATGTGCTCAATGGAAGGCTTCTGTAGGCAGCAGGACCCAGTTATGGCTGGGGCCAGAATGAGTCTGAAAGGAGACCTTTTAGGAAGGGTCCCCTGCTCGCTGCCAGATTCCTTCCTGACGTTTCTAGCAGGACCATGAAAGAATAGGCTGCAGAATTCATACTCTCCAACCTCTTAATTTTACGCAAGGGGAATCTGAATCCCAGAGAGGCCATGTGCTTCCGCCAAAATCACACAGCTGAGGAAAACCCCAGGTCCCCTGACTCCTAATTGGTCTGATTTCCCTGCATTGTGCTTTCTCTGCATGAAATGGAACTCCCGGCATTCAGCCATTGTTTACTGACCTGCTTATGCTAGGATGCTAGGTGCTAGGGATAAAGAAATGAATAATAAATGGCCCCCACCCTCAAGGACTAGAGAGGAACAGAGACTATTAAACTCTAAGCAGTTGCATTAGATTCCCAAGAATGAATAAAGTTGCCTTTAGCCAGAGCACACTGCCAAGTCTGGTCAGGTGGCCAAAGGTAAAGAAGCATCTGGACAGGGTACTTCTCTACTAAAGGAAGGCCACACAGCATGTCTTGAGTGACCACTGTATGCCTGGTCCTGGCTTTGGTGCAAGAGGACAGCCCCCTCTCTAAAGGAGCTCGCGGTTAGGATGCTATGATGGAAGCCAAGTTTAAGGCAACTCAGCAAACAGCTATTGAGCATAGACTCTGTCTCAGGCACTGTTCTAGGTGCGGAGGATATGGCGGTGAACAGGGTTGACAATCTTGACAATCTTTCAGGAACTTTTCACCAATGTTGCCATATATATTAGTGTAGAGAATGTTGGTCTTTAAATCTGTACTTGGTTCAGAATATATCTGTCTGGAGGCCTGAGGACTGGCGTCCTTTGTAATCGCCTGTTTCTAGTGTGGGGTGGGGGGTGGGTGTGGGACACCATCCTAGGTAGATCAACCACAACAGAATTTGATGTGTTTTATTCTCTCGCATGCAAGGGGCCAAGATGGAGAGCAATGTTTATTATGAAAAGTGAGGTACCCACTGGATTGCTTAGTCAAGCTCTCCAGGGGGGCCCAGGTCTTTGTCCAGGAGCATCTACATGCAGTTCTGGGTCAACCTTCCACTCATTAGTTTTTGGAGGAGGAAGGCACTTCCCCAGAAGGCAAGTTGCTCTTTTGTCCTCAATGGCCTTTTTTTTTTTTTTTTTTTAAACTTCCTGCTGATCTTCTACTGTGTGAGTTGCCAGATAATTCTCCTGTGTGGCTCCTGGGGGCCCCTTCAGCCCTTCGTAGAGCTCTGTCTTGTTCCCAGAACATCGATCAGAGGAGGCTCCTCACCCGGTCCTCAGACCAGCGTGCATGGTGGTTGAGCTTCCTGGCACCGCTCAGGAGCCCCCAAAATGCCTCTCCTCCAAACTATAGCCAAGCCACTTGGAAAAAATAGTGCCAGTAACATTTTGTGTTCGATCCACAGCTGTCCCCTACCTGTGTTGCTCACCATGGAAGAGATGGGGAAGACTGATATCCAGCTGCAGAGACCTATAAAGACTGAGTGGAATCCCCGGTGTGTCCTCTTCACCTATTTCCAAGGGGACATCGGCAGCGTAGTGGACGAACACTTCTCCAGAGCTCTGAGCAATGTCAAGAGCCCCCAGGGATTGAGCCCCTTGAGCCAGAGCACAGATGTGATCCTGAGGAATGGTGAGCATGTTGGGAGGGAGGAGGCTGGAATTTTCGATCAAGGCTACCACGGAAAGACCTGTTCTCCCAAGCCCTTGATGCGCTGACACGTGTGTGTATTTGCAGAAGGCAAGTCACACCGTAAGTGAGAAGCTGCACCCATTTCTTGGAAGTTTAGTGTGAAAATCAACACTGTGTGATCAAGCTAGTTCACCTATTTCGTTCTTTCCTTAATTGCGTTCAGTGCTGGGTTCACTGCTTAGTACACAGTTAAGAGCGCCGTGACTGTTCGCTATTATCAGCCTTCATTATTTATTTATTTATTTTAAAGATTTCACTTATTTATTTGTCAGAGAGAGAGAGCACGAGAGCACAAGCAGGGGTGAGGCAGGCAGAGGGAGAAGCAGGCTCCCTGCTGAGCAAGGAGCCTGATGTGGGACTCGATCCCAGGACCCTGGGATCATGACCTAAGCCAAAGGCAGATGCAGATAAATAGATAAATAAATAAGCAAGCATTCTTACATCTCTAGACAATTATTTCAAGATAGCTGTGTCAAAGAGTGCTCATCAAAATACCCAGGTTTGGAGAAAGCTATAAAAATTAAGCTGTCGGGGCTCTAGTAGGACTTTCATAGACCCTAGACATTTCTGACTCTATGGGCCTCTTCCTCAGTACAGCTATGAAAAAGGACATTTTGTGACTCTGCATTGGTATAAACACAACTTTAATCCAGGCTGGATTCATTTTTATGTATTCATTATTTTGTTATACTCATTTTTCTTCTAATTTTAAAAGACGTTAAGACATTTTCATGGGCTCCTAAAAAGTATCTGCGGGCCCTAGGCACTGTACTTGCTGTGCCTCATGGAGAAGTCACCCTGCAAGGTGGATGGGAGTCCATCCACCATTTTGAAATGTGCAATAGACCAGGGTCTGCTTGATTTTAAGAATTCTCCGTTGTAGTTGCCCAGCACCCACGTTGAATGCCTGGCCCCCGTGGGAGGATGTACATGCCTCCAAATGATTGTCCACTTTGTGCAAAGATGCCAAGTGGGGGGCCATCTGCCTGTGGGGGGAAGATCTCCCCTCTTTTCAGAAGACATCACTCTGGCTTTGCTCTTTGGACCTGGGTGGGGAGTTGGTGTACATCACCTCTGCAGAATTTACTTCTGTCCTAGAAATTATTGTTCCAGTCAGGTGATGTGATTTTCTGAGACTCTTGGGAGTTAAGCAAGCCTGTGGAAGGGCGCACGGTAGCAGCAGACACTAGAGGAAATGATGCAGTTTGCAGTTGCAATGGGCACAGTGGGGTGGCTGGAGGGTGGGGCTGTGATGTCCAAAGGTGTGTTGAGTAGTTCAGAGCAGGAGCAAGAATGACTGACAGAGTCATTTGGGGGACTTAATGTGTAGTAAGAGCTGATAAATGGGGTAAGTGGGTTTCAGAGGATCTAATCAGCTCCTTGGAAGAGTCAAAACCCCAAGCTCTTCATGCGTGGACTTCACATGCATGGGCTTTGGCTATTTGGCTTTGACTGAGTTGTGAACACACTGGCTTGGATTCATTATTGTCACTCCCTTGTAAGTGCCATCTACCTACAGTCCCTCGCATCCTCTGTCCCGCTTGCCTGATAAAACCCAGCCTGAAATAAAACCAACTCTTGGCCTCTTGCCCCATTTCATAGGAAGACTCAAAAATTACACCCATGCACCCTTCCTCTTCCTCTACTGCTTTTTGGAACTCCCTCCACTCAGGCTTTCATCCTTATCACTCCGTAACCACTCTCATCAAGGTTAGCCAGTGACCTCCACTTGCCAAATCAATGATCTTTCCCTATCTCCATCTTTTTTTGACCTGTCAGCAACATTGGCGGCAGGTGGTTGCTCCCCCCTCTTAGAAATGCCTCTTTCACTTGGATCCCATAACATCACCTTCTCTTGGTTTTCCTCCTTCCTCCTGGGTTACTACTCCTCAGTCTCTTCTGCTGGACGTGCTCTTCTTTTCAGCTTCTAAATGTTTGGAGGCCCCAGTGTTCGGGTCTGAGACAATTTCTCTATCTACACTCACTCCCTAAGGGATCTCTTCTGTCTCTTGGTCTTAAGTACCATCTATATCAATTTCAAGTGCATTATTTCCAGCCCAGACTGCATCTCAGTCCTTGTCTATCCAGCTGCCTACTTGATCCCTTCACATATCTACTAGGAATCACAAACAATGAGTCTCAGACTGAGCTCTTAACTGCCTCCTCGACCCGCTCTGTCCACCGTCTCCCCATCTCAATATATGGCAGCCGCATCCTTCCAGGTAACTGAAAGTCATGTCTAACTCCTCTGTTCATCCCCTACCCCATACCCAGTCCTTTGAAACAGTGGCAGTTTTACCTTCACAATATATCCAAGTTCTGACCACGTCTTCCCACCTCTGCCGCTATCGTGTTGGTCCAGGAAGCTGTCATTTCAGCCCAGGATTTTTGCAGTAGCTTCCTGACTGGTCTCCTTGCTTCCACCTTTGCTCCCCTTCCGTCTGTTCTCAAGATAGCTGTCAGAATGATATCACTAAAAGGAAAGTCTCGTCCTATGTCTCTTCTGTTCAGAACCCTCCAGTAGCTTCCTGTCTCACTTGGAATCAAATACAGAAGTCTTGCATGGGGCCCTGTTTTCATTCTGATTTCACATCCTACCACCCCCACCTCATTTCATCCAATCTAGCCTCCTACTATTTGTAAAACATGCCAAGTACAGTCCTGCCTCAGGCCCTTTGCACCTCTCCACCCCCTCCCTGAAATGCTCTTTCCCCAGATAACTGCATGACTTCCCCCTTTTCTCCATTCAGGTCTCCATCGGAATGTCACCTCTCCAGCCAAGCCCTCTCTGCACAATCTCTTTAAAAAATAGAAACACACCCGCCCCCGTCACCCTCTGTCTTCTTACACTATTTTATTTTATTTAGCATTTGTTACCACTGGGCATATTATATATTTATGTGTTTTCTTTCTTGTCTCCCCCCATTCTCTAAACTGAATTCCATGGTAGCAGGGCCTCTGTGTTAATTGCTACTTCCCAAGTCCCTAGCCCAAAGCCTGACACATGGAAGGTGCCCAGTAAATATCACTTGAATGAATGAAATTGTGATTCGCATCATAGGGTCGCTGATGTCTGCCATGGATGGAGTCACCGAAGAGAGTGCGGTGTGTGGTTTTAGAACCAGCTCCACCATTTATTGACAATGTGATCTCAGGGCACATCACTTCCTCTGTCTGTGCCTCAGCTCCCTCCTCTCTAAAGCTGAGGGTCACTTAACTATAGGAGGGGTCCATGAGGTCGTGCATGGCCACTGACACATAGTGCCATGTAGGTGTTCGTTATGTTTGTGTGGTGGTATGAGAGCTTGACATGTTGTTTGAGTGGTGCGAGTGGATATGGGGGCCTGCTTTCAAAGCACTAAGATCACAGAGCAGCAGGCACCTCCTGGAAGGCTGCACGTTTTCTAGGGGCTTCTGCCATGTGACAGCTGTATGGTTTCCTATGCCTTCTGACTTCATTCTATTCTGTGGTGCTCCTGTGCGTGACGGGAACTTGGACGTGGCTCTGTTTCTTGCCCAAGCCAACCTTCCGAGGCCAAACAGAGAGACAGCCATCTTCTCTGCCTACCTTCTTGGTTGCATTTACCCTGTGAGAATCTCAACGGGTCCCTTGACTGTGACGATGTCTTCCTCAAAGAGTGCGGGGCAGGTGGGGCAAATGTTGGTCCAGCTGACTGAGCAAGGGGAGGTCTGTCTTCCTCCAGGCCTCTTATCACGGTTAAGAGTCAAGTTTCTCATAAGCTGTGCTGCCTCACGGGAGGCCCCATGAAAGACCAGTCCCCCAGCAGTTCTCACAAGAGGTGTTATGTGAGAGCCCCACAGCTTCGGAAATGGTGGGAAATCCATAAAGTGGCCTTTCATTACTGCCCGTTAGCAACCTCTCAGGCCCTGCAGGCCAGCCCCAGGCCGCCGAGCCCTGGCTGAACCATGCCCGACAGAACAGGCTCCCATTCATGGGCTCCCGTTACCGACGCGGCCACTTTCTAAGGGCGCTCTGTCAAGCCAAATATGCAAAGCCCAAACACAGAGGCCCATGTGGCTAGGAAATGCCATCGAATTTCCTGGCTGTTTTTCCCAAATCCAAATTATTTTTTTATTTACTTATGTATATTTTATACTGGCTGGACTTTAGAAAAGAAAACACAGGCTGAAGGCATTTTTGAATTATCTCCCTTTTAAAAGGACACTTGAGGATTTCAGAGTAGGTGACCAGAGAAGCTGCGGTAGTTGCCACTTCGGGCGGGCGGGGGGACAGGGTCCGGATGCACATCCCACTCCACTGAGCTCCCAGAGGTCTTTTGTAGCGAGACTCAAAAGATCATACCTCCTCCTCTCTCCTCTCAACCATAATCCAGTAGGGGTGGGGAAGAAACACTGGTTTGCTTGTTTTGAGTGTGAATAACCATTTGAGAGAGAGTCATGCTAGTTGTTCCTGGCCCTTGTGAACACTGACAACTTCGCGTCTTTCTTTCTGGCGAGGGAGAGGAATCCGCACCAGCGCAGAGTGAGGCCCCACTGGACGCTAGACACCATGGGCCAGTGACTAGTCACTTCAGTCTGCAAAAGCCACTGTGATTTCTGAAGGTCAAAGATAGGCAACCTGAATCTGGTGTCAGAAGACAGGAGAGCGGTTACCTCCGGGGAGGTGGGCTCCCCGGGGTGGAGGCCATGTTCTCTTCCTTGATCTGGGTGCTCGTTACCTAGTTTGTGAATACTCCCCCAGTGGCACACTGGCACATTTTCCTGCATGCCTGTTGTATTTCCCAAAGCCACTTTACAAGGGATATTAATGTCCTCACTTCACGGAGGAGGCAGCACAGCCCAGACAGGGTTAAGTGTTGAGATGGGTCACACAGCCTGTGAGTGAGGGCTAGAGATTGAAACCCAGGTCCATCGGACTCTTTACTAGCCCACTGTCCTGCCTTTGTAGACCCTGACAACACCCCAGTGAGAGGGCTAATGCCCAGAAGGATATCGCTGATACTGTTGTCAATGGCTAACAATGACGGAACACGTCCTGTGTGCGGGGCCCTTTGCTGGGGGCTCCCACATGGATTAGCTCATTGAATCCTCACACCAGCTGTTGGTTAACCCGCACTGTGCCCATTATCCTGGGAAGGAGAGCCAAGTGATTTGTCCAAGATCCCACCGCCAGTAAGGGGTGGCTATTTGAGACCAGGCCAGTTTGACTCCGATCCTGAGCTCTCATCCACTTGCAAATACTGCACACGTTCTGTGTTTCATCTTCATTTTCATCCGGATAAAGGCTCTGGATAATCAGCAAAAGACTGGGTACCCCGGGGAGGCGACGGTAAAGGAGGGAGCGGGGCCGAGCAGGCTGCCCTAGTGCCCTGGAACAGGACCGTGTCCTGTAAGCTGTCCTGTCCTCGGTGTTGTTTCAACCTCGGCTAATACAAACAATATCCTCTTTGTTTCTGGGGTGAATGAATAAGAGGCCAGCACACTAGCCAAGAAGGCAGAGAAGGAAAAGTCAGCGCGTACAGATCGGACAGGCCGAAGGTTGGGCTGTCACGGTGCAAGATGTTCAGAGGGTGCTTGGTTTTAACTTCATCATAAAGCAGGATTTGTATTAAAGGCAGAGACAGAGAAAGGGGAGGAGGGCGAGAAGGAAGGATGGGGGGAAGGGAAGCAGGCCGTTATGGATTGGTCTTTTACAACCGTGACTCCAATTCAGTGAGTCAAATGGTTTCCTCAGTTTTTACTTAAAAAAAAAATAACTTTTTCGGGGCGCCTGGGTGGCTCAGTCGTTAAGCGTCTGCCTTCGGCTCAGGTCAGGATCCCGGGGTCCTGGGATCGAGCCCCGCATCGGGCTCCCTGCTCCGCGGGAAGCCCGCTTCTCCCTCTCCCGCTGCTGTTCCCCCTGCTTGTGCTCTGTCAAATAAATAAATAAAAAATCTTAAAAAGTATGTAACTTTTTCTAATCACAAAAGTACTGTTGTTTTTGGAAAATTAGAAAACAAAGGTAAGCATTCAGGACATAAGCGCATGTGCATCTATGCACACATGCTAAGTTTTACAACGAACGTAACATCATTCTGTACATAAATGATCTCCCCGGATCATGACCTGAGGCGAAGGCAGCCGCTTAACTGACAGCCTCCCCCAGGCGCCCCTACAACATCATTTTAATGGCTCCAGAGTATCCTTTTTATAGAGGTACCGAATCTATTACAATTTTTGGACATCGGGTTGTTGCTAATTTTTCACTATATTGTAAATATCCTTTTGACGATCCTCGTAGCTACATTTTTGCACACATCGTTGATTATATCCCTAAATTGTTATAAGGGGAATGACTGGATCAAAGGATGCATTCAAATTGCCCCAAGAGATTTTAGGCCCACCTGCCACCGTCCAACCCCAGGAGTGTGTGAGAGCACCCAGCTCACTGCAATACCGAGAGACGGAGCTGCAAAGGGCATGAGTTTTGGAATCAGCCAGCCAGAGCATTTGCCAACTGCGTGGCCTTAGGCAAGCCACTCCAAGTCTTTATTTTGTCATCTGGGTCTCTGTGAGGATCACGTGAGCTCATGTGGGCAGAGTGCTAAGCAAAGCGCCTGGCCCATAATAAGTGCTCAGTAAACAAAACTGTTGTGGATTTGCAACCGCTCCTACCCGCCTCTGGTGTATCATTTCCTGGAAATGGACATGCACTGAGCAATGGCTTCTGAAAATTCTCTTCTACAACTACTGTCTACACATCCACCCTCCACATCAGCCCTCGAGTGTTGTTACTGCTGCTGTGGGCTCTTGTGCTCAGCCCACTCTCTGAAGCCTTTTGTATTCCTGCTAAAAGGAAAATCCAGGCGGCCCCAAGTGTCCTAGAACCCAAATGTTCCTGGACTGGTCTCCCTTCATTCATGTAGTCCGGGGTTTGATAAAGCAGCAGTCTTCCCCAGGGCTCCCTCTCTCTCATCTCTAGAGGTAACTAAGAGTGGGGGACCTTGGGTAAGAAAGGGTCACCAGGGTCACTTCTAGCGGTGGCAACAGCCGCTTGAGCCAGTCAGGACTGTGACTTAGAAATGCCTTCAGAGTTCACAGGGTAGGTGAGCGTGGTTGCTGGAAAGAGTGCCCCCCCCCAAATTCAGGGTCTCCACCCTGTGGGTCACCAACATCCAAGTCTGCCCTGGAAAGATGCTTTTGCCAGGTCACCCAGGGTCCACTATGGGGTTGCTGTGAATTTGGGATTTGGGACACTGCCTCCCCCCATGCTGCTGTCCAAACTGCTCTGGTGCACTCCAGATGGACCTTGGACAGTGGCACACCACCCACTCCCCTGAACATTTCGATCAGAAAATTCTGGAAGGCCTAAAAAAGAAAAGAAAAGAAAAGAAAATTCTGGAAGGGAAGCAGTTAAAAGAAATATTCAAAAGCCACTGGGGCCCTGCCTTGCCCATTTCAAGCATTCAGCCTCTAGGTCATATGTATGAGATCTGTAAGGCCAGTTCAGATGGAAACTGCCCGCTTGTCGGGCTACACATTGTTTCTAACTTGTGCTCAGAACATGCAGTACCCTTATTGAACGTGAAGCACGCCTAGTGATTATACTAAGTCAGCTTAATCACTCTCTTTGTGCTACACAGTGCCCTGAATCGCTACCAGTCTGTAGATATCAATTTTCAAAAGTAGCATTCATCCCCAAGAACAAATTTTAACGTTTTCATGCCCTTGGTTTCATTAAAAGAAGCCAACCGCCGCCCCCCCCCCGACTCATTGTGAGCGATGTGAAATGTTGGGTGAATGTCTGTGCCACGTAAGTTACGACTTCTTTTGCTCTTCCCGTCCGTATTACATGAAAAGCTATGATGGGAGGGCAGGCGGGGGGCGGCGCTCCGGTGTCACTGTGCAGACCACTCAAGATGCTTTTATCTTGTACAACATCCAGGCAAGTGGAACATTCGGGAGAGCTGGGAGAGACACACGTGGGGCAGGGGAGGTGGGGAGGGGACCAGACAGTCTCTCCAGCCCTCCAATCTTCCTTTGTCTTCACGCCCACACCCCCCTTCATTATCTTGGGTAGATGAGAGGCTCTAGGCTTTAAGCACCATCTGCCAGAGCACTCTCCCTCCTCCTCTCTTGCCTGAGTGGGTGTTGCGAATGGGGAACACATCCATCCATGTCGTGAGCTGCCCTAGACTTTTGGAACACTCAGATTCAGCTGGTACCCTAGGCACAATTAGAAGAGTATCTATGAGACCAAAGGAGACTCCATCCCCGCTTGCTAGTCCACATGAACTTGGCGAGAAGAAACTGAGTCACCGCTTGACCTTGAGCATTTTGCTTTTGCAGGAAGAGGTCCAAGCAATCACTCACCGCTCCAGTTCAGATCCCTACTTGACTAATCTGCTTTGCTAACTTGGTCCAGTCTCAGCATCCCCATGCCCCTGATCCCTCTAGAAAATGGGGTTTCGACCCCTAGACTTGTATGAGTGACTTATTAACAGGTGAGCGTTAAACCCTTTATAAAATTCTGTGGCGTCCTTCCATTTGGTGTATTCAAACCACGAGCTATAAAATCAAGCCAACCAGCAATGACCAAACACAAATCACCTTTAATCAAGCAATTTTACTTTCTAGAAAAGTTTCCTTGAGGGGCTCGGTGGACACGGGTGCAAAGATGTTCATCACAGTGTTGTTAATATAACTGAATACTGTGCTGGTGCTGGCTCTATTCGTTGCCATGGGAGGATATTTGTGATCTTTTAATGATGCAAAAGCCGCCTTAAAAATCCTATGTGATGTGAAAACCATGTGGACCTGAATAGAAACAAATCCTAGAAAGAAGTATACCTAAAAGTAGACATTGGTGGTCTCTGGATATTGTAGTCAGAGTGGGGTTTGGTTTTTTTTGTTTGTTTGTTCGTTTGTTTGTTTGTTTTACTTTTTCTACACCTTCTTCATGTTAAAAAATAGAGTCTGTAGTAACCAGAAAAAAATTAAGCTATTTCCATTTTGAAAACGATAAATACCTAACATGTCTTGTAACTCTTTCCTTCCCAGATAGTGACATGCCTCCAAATCAGTGGCGTTTCTCTTCTCCGTGGACAAAGCCAGAGCCAGAAGCATCTTTTGCATATGGTGCCCCCAACTGCAGTCTCATGACTCCGGATCAGTATCCACTGTCCCTGGCGGGGAGCCCCTCCATTCAGTCTGACGAGCTGTGGCATTACCCCTCCCTAGGCAACCCCAGCTCCTCAGAGTCTGGCTACTCTCAGGCCTACTCCAGTGGGCACATGGTTCCAGAGCCCCAGCCCGAGGGGAAATATGAGCCCTTCCTAAGTCTCCTCCAGCAAGACCGACACCTAGCCCATCCTCAGGAATCCACAGTGTGGGAGGATTGCAGCTCTGCCCAGGTAGCCAGAAGTGTGGGATTGCTCTGCGACTTGCCTCCCAGCTCAGCCCATGGTAAGGAAATGCCTCCAGATACTTGGAGGACTGCCTCTGATTGGTTGTAGTTGAGAGGGAGTTGGCAATGAGATGGGGTGCAAAGGCTAATTGCTGCCTCTTCAGACATGGGGCTTCTGAGGGATGGAATGTTCTGCTTCAGTGTTCCATAGATCTTCACTAAGCTTCATCAACATTCACAGATTAATGATTCAGGGTTACATAGATAGCCAGCCAGATGCACTTGGCCCCAAATGGTCACCCCAGTCTGTTGACTTGGACTTACACTAGAAAAATGATTTAGGCTGCTGCCTAAAATCGCAGCGTCCTGCACTCACCTCGCCGTCAGACACCAAATAATCCACTTGTAAAACAGAACCCTCCGACATACCTACAAGGCTCAAACTCTAGCCTCTAAACAGGTTGGCAACTTGCAGTGATGCCAGGTTCCTGGGCAGAAACAAGGGCAATCTATACCAACCGTCTGCTCCAAACATTAAAATTCAAAGTCGCTGTAGAAGCTGTCCCATAGCTGCCTGGAGACCGCCACAGCTCGGTCTCCCTTGGGTGTCTGCGCCCAGGCCACCACCCCTCCCCCTGAACTAAAACCCCCTTAAGGCTCATTCACTTCTTCATTCACTCATTCGCCCAACAAATATTTAATCAGTGCCTACTAGATGCCAAATGCCTACCAAAAAACAAGACTCCCTTCTTTGTAAAGGCTCGGGGAGAATTGGCCTGAAGTATACTTTCACCAACAGAACAACCCAACCTGCTACAAGATTTGCCTTTCATATGAAACACTGGTAATAATATATATCTTTTATGGTTTCATGGGGCCACATCCACATCCTCTGGCATTCTGTACTCTGGACGGATTTTCTTTTACAATCCCCTAGTCCATACATGTCTATAGTTCTAGTGTTCTATGCCTGAAAGAAATTGCTAGACGTTGCCTTTACTCGGAACTAACTATACAGTACACAAAGGGCCTGTTCAGCATAGCCTACCTAAGTCAGGCACTGTGTTCCAGCCTAACGTCAAAAAGAAATTTCTCATTAAAATACCACTCTATCATTTCCAGAGTTTGATTAGGAATGTACTTCAAGAGTAAATCATAAAAATGTCATGCATGGGAAACCCATGAAAATTCCCACTCCCGTACTCTTTTTCAAAAATTTGTTCCTGCTGGATTCAGAGGAAAAATTAGGCCAACTGTGTTTGCATACACACAGCAGTTAGTTAGAACATAGATGGCTCAAATCCTCACCTCCCAAACGTAACAACTATACAGTTCAAACCCAATTCAGCAAATATTTAGTGAACATCTACTGTACGCCAGGCACATCATGGCAAAATTATGATGCAAGCATGATCCTATTTCTTGAAACCTCTAGACACATTATTACATGTCTATCACCAAGTCTGACTACTGAAAACTTCCCGCTCTCCTACTAACATGGACGTCAGTTGTATTCATTGGCCTGATGGTCTAGGATCCGTTGGGGAAGTCAGGAACATTGCCTGTAAGATGGGAACAAGACCCCAAGGGACCTTAAAAACAGAAACTTCTCTGTTTTTGTAACATCTGATAAGAGAAAACATGCTCGGGGTTTATAAACTGAGGGGCGGGGGGCGCCTGGGTGGTGGCTCAGTGGGTTAAGCGTCGGCCTTCAGCTCAGATCATGATCCCAGGGTCCTGGGATTGAGCCCCCCGAGTCTGGATCTACACTCAGCAGGGAGTCTGCTTCTCCCTCTGCTTCTGCCCCTCCCCCTGCTCATGCTCTCTCTCTCTGACAAATAAATAAATAATCTTTAAAAATAAACTGAGGGTCAGACCATTTGGAGTCCCTGGAGGTTTCTAATCATGTGTTCTTCCTTTCTAGATAAGAAAATATATTTCCCCCCAGATGGTGGACCTGCCAGTGCCAACCTTGCAAGTGAAAGTAGGTATCAGGTTCTGCCTTAGATACTTTGTCCCTACAGCTTGGGAATAAAACTTGGGGAGAAGCTCATAGTGTGAAAACCAGGCTCTTCAACTGATAAGACCCCGATTTCTATTACTTAGTATTTTCATAGCTGGAATTTGTTTCATCTTAGTCTCAAAGAGCCCGTGTACTTTGTGCCTTGTAAAATGTCTTGACCATTTTTTTTTTAAACCATTTTCTTGTTTTACTATCCGAGCAGCTCTATTGCGTTCTCTTACCCGAGCTAGATTTAACCCAGATGACTCAGCGAAATGAGCAAATTCATGAGGATTAGTTTGCTTGTCCCAGATGTTTAGTTTTCAGCCTAGAACATAAGGCTACCCCAGGACTCTGAGGCCCAGGAAAATGCCACCTGAGGCTAAGGGCCAGGACTCTGGGCTCCACGCTCAATTCAGAAAGTGTCAGTAGGAACTTCCAAATGGGAACGATATGGGTCTGGGGGGAAAGGCATGAGGATCTTTATGGCCTGGCTTCTAATCCGGGCTCATGACTTACTAGCTTCAGAAACTTGGGCACATTTCTTAACCTCTCCGCTCTTCAGTTGGCTCATTTGTGAAATGAGGATTAAGATAGGGTGGCCCCCCCAACAGAGTTTCTATGAGGATTAAAATGAAATAATATATGTAAATGCTTAGGATCTAGAATGTTAGCTCCTTGAGGGCCAAGACTTTGAGGGGTGTATACCCACATCCCAGCATCTGCAACAGAGCCCGGCACAGGGGGGAATACATATTTGTTGAATGGATGGATGAGGGAGTGCTGGAAACAATAGAATGGTGAAGAAGGAAATAGTAAAAATACATTGCCGACACAGTACAGATTCTTTTGTTTGAAGCCTTTGTGTAAGACAGACTAACGGACAAGCCATAAGCTCTCTTGGTGATTAATTGGCCATGCCCAAATGAGGAGATGGATTCAGGGCTGGTTCAAGAGCTTTAGCGTGGCTGAGTCAGGCTTCACATCAATCTCTACCCAAGAGGATGAGTTCTGCTGGCCTACTAATTAATGAAAGTCAGGATTATAAAGTCTCCTCTAAGTACTTGTTAATAGTTTGTACATTTTTTAATGTTAAGCCTCAGAATTACTGAAAACTTGATGCTTTAAACAGTTCCTTTAAAAGGCGAAAAAAATAACAGCAACATGTACGGGTGGGGACTATGAGCCGGATCCCACACATGCCGTCCTGCTTGGTGCCCACAGTGACCTTGTGAATTGTGTATGTGCATATCTTTGGTGCCTTACACAACAGGTCTTCAGGGAATAGGGATTGAACGAATGCATAAATATTCTCATTCTGTACGTGAGGAGACGGAGTCTCGAACAGGTGACAAGACTTGCCTTAAGATCACCCAGCATCAGGTGGCAAGGGGTATTCCTCTCTTTGCTCTCAGTCTTAAAGCCATCCTCAGTCATAAATGACAATACACATTAATCCTGAGAAACAATTCCAAGTTAAATCCAAGTGTACCGTAGTGAGAGTTGGCAATTGGTAGGATCCTTTCAGGGCATATGGGTTCACTGTCTGTGGCCAGGACACCGTCCTAGAATGAGGGGAGGGGATGCTGGGACAGTAGGCACGGGAACCATATCACCTTGGGCAAAGGGCAAGGGGATGGACTTTCCGAGCCGAGACTAGTTGAGGGGAGATGGGGAGTAGGGTACCCGGCTATGCCAACCGTCCCAGGTCCGCTCTCCTGCCCCTGTGGCTCTGGACAGAGGGAGGCAGCAGGGCACGGGCACTGGGAAGGGGGCCACTTCCGGGCACCCCAGCAAAGTCCCTGCTCCTCAGCACACCACCAGGCTCCCAGTCTTGGCTGATGGTGAAGACCACGGGGGAGCTTGGGAAATGCACAGATTCCACGTCCTCACTTCCGGTAGATTTGGCATGGAACTCCATCGCCTCTAAACGTTTGACTCTTTGTATATTTTATATGAACCTGGTTTCAAAGTGAACTCGATGAACGTTTCAGTAGGAATTTCAGTAGTTCTGAAAGGTTTCCTGTGTGAGGCCCCAGATAAAGACTGGTCAAAGGAAGGAAGGAAGGTCGAGCCTCCTCCTGCCCCTCCAACATGGGCCCAGTCCCTTCCTGCTGGCCGAGGCAAATTACTTAACCTCTCTAAACCTCCCTCAGCAACTTTTCCTCTCCCCCCATCCATCACGCTCACCCGCCAAAGCCTCCATCCCGGATGAACTTCACTGTCTCCCTTCTGTGCATCACGCTAACCAAACAGCACTCAGGAAAATCACCCCACCCCGCTGTTGCTACTTGCGACTCCTGACCTCAAACTTCAGCTGGGCACTCAGGAAGCTGATGACTCCCATACTTGCCCACTTTTCGACCCCCAGATTTGCACTCTCAGCTGATGCTCTTGCCCCAGAGTTGATGGAGAAAACAGAGGTCATCTGCTCGGCGGGGTGCCTGCTTCTACCTCTCCCTCTCCTCCCAACTCCTGCTCTCTCTCACTATCTCTGTCTCTCTCTCAAATAAATAAAATAAAATCTTAAAAAAAAGATTTTATTTATTTCACAGAGAGAGATAGACAGCGAGAGAGGGAACACAAGCAGGGGGAGTGGCAGAGGGAGAAGCAGGCTTCCCGCGGATCGGGGAGCCCGATGCGGGGCTCAATCCCAGGACCCTGGGACCATGACCTGAGCCGAAGGCAGGCGCTTAATGACTGAGCCACCCAGGCGCCCCCATTTTTAAAGATTTTATTTATTTATTTGAGAGAGAGAAAGAGAGAGCAAGGGAAGGAGCAGAGGGAGAGGGACAAGCAGACTCCACGCTGAGCGCGGAGCCCGATGGGGGCTCCATCCCACAACCCTGAGGGTATGTGCAAGTGAGTGACTGTAACAAGGGAGCCTGGTCTCTGAGCTGCACGAAGAAGGGAAAGGAGGCCAATGGCGGAAGACGGGTAGTGGAGGTTGATGGACTGGAGGATTAGGTTATGGAAACATGTAGTGCGAAGACTACTTAGGCCAATGACATGGGAGGTAGTGGGTGGAGAGTAGATGTTTGAAATTGAAATGGCAACGGTGCCGCCTGTGTAGGCGATGACAGAGTCTAGCTGTCTGGCCATAGGAATGGCTGGCTGAGGTGGAAGGAAGTAAAAGGTCATTAGAGATGAGGAGAACGATAAGATTCACGGAAGTGAAGCAAAATAAGAACCAGTAGCTACCTACAAGGCAGGTGCTATTTTTATCCTCATTCACAGGGTGGGAAAATTGAGGTTTAGGGAGGTTAAGTAATTTGCCCAAAGTCAAGGTGAGTGAGTGCCAGAGTCTGCTTTCTCTGACTTCCAAGTCATTATCTTCCCTACAATGCCAATTCTATTCTACTACATATAAAGACAGTGCCTCTTTTTAAAATATATATAAAGATTTTATTTATTTGAGAGAGAGAAAGAGAGTGTGTGTACGTGTTGGGGGAAGGGGCAGTGGGAGAGGGAGAGAGAGAAGCTCAAGCGGACTCTCTGTGAGCACTGGGCTCGCTCTCACGACCCTGAGATCATGACCTGAGCCAAAACCAAGCGTCGGATGCTTAACCGACTGAGCCACCCAGGCGCCCCAAAGACATGCCTCTTTAACAAAAGAGTAGCTAACATCTATTGAGCATATATGTGCCAGGCACTGTGTGAGGCGCTTTCCGTGTGTTTAATTCACCTGCTCCTTTCCAGAATCTTGGGAGGCAGGTTGCATTAGTGGCCTCGTTGAACAGATGAGAATGTGGGGCTCAGATAGGCTAGGTAACTCGCCTGAGGTCACACAGCGACGCAGCGGTGGAGTCAGGATTCAAACCGCTTCTTCCTCATCACGCTTATCCTGTTTTTCAGAAAGCCAGTCTCCAGAGCGAAGAAATGTGTTCTTTTATTGAACCTCACTCCGAAGAAGAGAATTCCTTTTTCCAAACCTGCTCGTGATTTTCTACTGTGAATCTAGAGGGTCTAGAGACTGCACCGTCCTTTTTTCTCTTTCCGTCACTAAAGAGCATTGCGCCAGGGGCACGTTGCTGTTCCCCGCAAAATCTGACACTTCTCTTCCTTGGCACCTGCGCCCTGTGGCAGGAGTTTTCCAACTTGAGTGACTCACCGGCACGTGAAATGGTTAAAAGAGCAGTTCAGGGATGGGAACCATAGAGGCCCCCCACTGCCTGCTTCTCCCACCTTGCCTGCACCTGCTGCCCTCCTACTTAGAAATCAGTCCCCTTAACCCTCTACCAGCAGGGTCTTTCAAACCAAGACACCATATGGTGTCCTATGGGGTTGTCCCACTTTGCCAGCTGAATGGAGGAGATACCAGGAGTGGCCTGAAGCTGTCTGGCCTTAACCCAGACTCTGGCCAGCCGGCCTCTTGCTTCTACCAAAGGCAAAATGAAAATGGGGTGGGCAAGACCCATGGAGGAAGTTGAGGCTGGGCATTCCCTGCATCCTCAGAGTCTGGAAGGAAGCTGAAAAGTTTCGGGAAGGCTCTCATGAATGAAGTCCTTTCGCTTGGAATTTTTGACTCCTCAGTTCTAAAAAAAAAATGATTCCAAATGGAGTTGCTGAGGAATCTGAGAACTAACTGACTGGAAATTAGTTAGCAGACTGCCGCATCCCAGGCTGGGCCTATACTAAGTTCTGTGCCAAGAGCATTTCTTAGTTGCGGCTCCATGAGTTTCTTTCTGCCCTCACTTTGAGGATGAGGACTCTGGCATCTGACCCCCCCATAGGTGTTCAGCTGGACCTTGGTGACATTTTCCAGCCTTCCACAGGGGCCCACCTGGCTTCCACAACCAATGAAGCCTTCCCTTTAGCTCTTTCACTGTTAGTGACATCTGGGAACCATTAGCTCTTTTCAGCACACAGCCTTTGGGGCCACCCATGTGGATAGCCACCGCATCTTAGACGTGGCAGCAGGACCTCCCTACAGATTGTTCCAGATAAAATGACAAATTCCTTCGAACTCCTTCATGTCTCTAATCTAGTAGACAGCCTTGTGGCCAGTGTGAGCTTGGTGCTTAGCCCGTGACAACCCCAGAAACCCCTGCTGTCAATGTTCGCCATCCATGCAGCACCCCTCCCCCCACTTGCTCCTGTGTAATAGCTCGGAGGGTGGACAATAAAATGACTTTTTTGGGTTATGCTCTTCTCTGTTCCAAATTCTTTCACATCATGATCTCATGCCGACTTCCCAGCAACCCTGGGCCTGGCATTACCTCCATGTAATACATGTGGGTACTGAGGCTTGGTAAATGACCTGCCCAAGGTCTCCCCACCATACTACTTATCAAAGGTTAACATTGGCCTGGCTCTTCGATCTTTGTCCTCCCATCTGCTGTGTAAATAAAGACCACAGCTCTTGCATGAGTGAATCCATGACAGTGGCAGTTTATTTATTATTATTTTTTAAAGATTTTATCAGAGACACAGCAAGAGAGGGAACACAAGCAGGGGGAGTAGGAGAGGGAGAAGCAGGCTTCCCGCGGAACAGGGAGCCCGATGCGGGGCTCGATCCCAGGATGCTGGGATCATGACCCGAGCCGAAGGCAGACGATTAGCCGACTGAGCCACCCAGGTGCCCCTATTTATTTATTTATTTTAAAGATTTTATTTATTCGTCAGAGAGCACAAGCAGGGGGAGTGGCAGGCAGAGGGAGAAGCAGGATCCCTGCTGAGGAAGGTACCCGATGCTGGATGATGTGCTGGACGATGCGGGGCCCTGGGATCATGACCTGAGCTGAAGGCAGATGCTTAACAGACTGAGCCACCCAGGCATCCCGACCTTGGCAGTTTAATATAGTAACGGTCTCAAGACTACAGTTTTTCCAGTGTGTTACATAGGTTTCCTAGATTAGTGAGAGAAAAGATACTTGGCTAATAACAGTTTCTCTCGGAGTTATTTACCTTCTAAAGCCATGTTCTTTTTTAGGTGATGGTTGGGGAAATTCAGGGTGGGGGCTGATTCTAGCACTTGTGATGCTTAATTATACAAGTGTGTGTTTCTCTTGGCTCACGCTAGAAAGATTCATCTGTGCTCAAAGATGATAAGTACCATCAGGATTGAACTCTTAATATGCTATTTAGGGGAAAAGAAATGATTCCAAGAAGGCTGGCATCTTCTGCTGCCTGGTAAAATCTGGTAACATTTCCTTGCAGATTCTGAAGCTCGCTCTTGAATAAAGCTGAAAGCCGTAATCTGTTTTCCCACTGTAACAAAGAGGGAAGACAAGGCCTCCTGCCTCAGAGAGACCCCTGCCCCTCTGACATACACCAGTAAATCCCCACCCAGATCAACTCCTACTCAATCCTAGACTTAGACTTGTGCCTCTCTATACACACCCTTTCCTTTTCCACCTCACTTCCAAAAAAGCTAACTCGAAAAGCAATTCTTTGACTCACCTTGGCATTTTACTCTCAGAATTACAAATTCACACACAAAG